CATAGAAAAATGTATTTCCTGGGCCCAGCTAAATGGCAATTTTGTGGGAAGACACTTGTACAGAGGCATTAAAAATAATACCACTGTTTTATTTACGGTTTCCTGTATTTCATAAGATAATCATATCAGGCCTATAAAGTCCAGAAGATCACTAGATAACAACAAAACAGGGGGGGAAATCCAGACTAGATATGGTAGCTGCATAGGTAATGTAGTATTAATGTGCAAAATGGTTTGATTGGGCCTTTGATACATAGTACTTTTTGATAATTGTTAGTAGGGCCTTATGGCTTAGATTAGCTTTAGTTTAATCTTTCATTTTGTACGTTCTATCTGTTTTAATGCCTTCCGAAAGGTTATTTATCTGTGAGCTTTGTTTTTTAAAACAAAGTTCAAAGTTAATCTTCCACAATTTATTTAAAGTTATTGGGATAAGTGCTTTAAATATACCTTAAAACATAGAATGTTTGAAATAAATCTATATTAAAAGATACATTTTGGATCCAAAGAACTCTTTCTGTTATAACTTTTTATCAGCAATTTAAATAATCCAACTTTACCATCGTTAAATATTGGTCTGAAAATAAACTTTATAGGAAACATAGGGTTTTCCTGGTGATTTTCATTACATGGTAAATCCAACAGTCTGCTGTTAAGTTCAGAAATGTCAAGCAGCGTAAAATTGTTATACAACATAATAGAAAGACTAAATAATTAAGCAGTGTGTGCATTATTAAACATGAAACATCTTAAGATGTTCATGACTGGCAACATAATGGGAACTACATGAAATAGTAAAATTCTCAAGTGCTTAAAAACAATAATTCCAAGCTTCTCTGGCCAGGTTGTGAAGAGACCATGTCACACCCTCTTTGAATTCATAGGAATAAATTCTCTAAATTTAGAAATTAGGAATTCACATGTACACACTCCGAAACAGAGAATGTGTCCATTTGGCAAACAGTCCGTGTGTGGCTGCTTTTGGATAGATCTGAAAATAATTTTAAAAAGGTGAAGCAAAGAAAAACCTTGAGCTATGAACTATTGAACCATAATCAGACCACAAAAAGGGAGAAATATTCTAATGCTCTACATTCGCCACAGTCTTTTGTGATGTTTTAAAAACAAAATTATGGGTAGCTTTCAGATACAAAAAACCTGTAGCAATTTGTTATTTCAAATCAACATCTTTTCCTTACTCCTGAAGCTCCTGCTACCTACAATTCTTGTTCCTATTAATTCTGTCTTCCGATTTTCCTTGTCTATTCTAGCATTCTCACTAAAGCAGAGTAAAATTAACTAGGCAGAATAAAAGGAATGGTTTTAGAGGTAGTACCAAAAAAATAGCTATTTAATTTTTTTAGCCTTCCCAACTATGCTATATATACCCTTGGAATTTTTTGTGTTTTATACCTCTCAAACCATCATACTGAACACAGTATCCTAAATTTGAAATGGGAAATGATGCTATTTTGCCCTTTGTGTTGAGAAACTGTGTTGTGTTGAATTTCTTCAAAAGTCACTGAAGTGAGACCGTCATATCTGGGTTATTCCATTTTAGAATGAGTACAGAAAATTACCATATCAGAGGTAATATATGGGCTTCTATCTAATTTTTAATGGAAAGGTAATGTAGCATGTTGAAAACATTCAAATGTTCAGTATTTTTCTTGTTTTTCACAGGATTCCATGTTCCAATTTATTATTTTAGCTTTTTCTTCTTTTCTTGGCTTACAATTTTTAAGGCTTCTTATACAGCTGCTAAGACTTGATTAACTCAGCCTTCACTAGCTGAGGAAAATGTTTGTCTTATGGTTTTTCTTGATTATCATTCTCAGAAATCTATTGATAAATATATTTGTTTATTTTAGTACTTTGGTTTGATTCATAAAGAATTAATAAATTAAATGAATAAATAAATATATTCCATTATGCCAGTAGTAGGAATCGTGCAGCCTTCTAAATGTTTTCAGAAACCACATTTCTAAATATTTGCATATTTATGACTATTGATCCTGCTGACCAAAGCTCAACTGGAGAGCCATCTCTGAATTCCAAATTGAAACACTGAAATTGATCCATCTCCTAACATTGTGAATATTATTTCATTAATCACATCATATATCATTTTACATTCTTATTCAGCTTCTCTGTTTTATATATGTTTCTTATAATTTTTGTAGTAAGCCAAGATTTATTGGGTTTGCTATTGTACAAAGAGATAAATCATGGTTTACAAATATAATGATCAAGTTCAGACATGCAGTGGGATCATATAGGATTCAATACCCGTGTCAGTCTAACCACACATTTCTACACATGCTCATGTGCTCCATAAATTTTAGGATTATGCATCCTCCTTCATCCAATATGAATTTACAACCCCAATGTTTATATGAATCACTTAGGCAAAACTTCACTCTTTTGTGGCCAGAACAAAATGAGACATCCAATGGTGGGATTCAAATAATTTAACAACCGGTTCTCTGCCCTAATGATTTTTTCCAACTACCAGTTCACCAAACTGCTCAGAAAGTTAACAACCGGTTCTCCCAAAGTGGTGCGAACTGGCTGAATCCCACCACTGGATACACCATACTGTTTTCTCTGTGCATGATGATATCTCACATCCAGTTTATCAGACTTAAACTCACATTTATGTGTGTAAATATCTATATAGGAAGTTTGTATCTTTTTCCAAAGTTTTTTTAAAAAAGCCTTCAAACAAAGACCATTTCTCATTCCAATATTTGAAGACACTTCCTGTTTTCCCCAGCGTTTACAGCTTTTAACTACATATACAACATATGTACTATTCTGGCAATTATCATGCATGTGCTTTCATTAATATATGCTTCTGTAAGGAAAAAACTCAATAAATTTAAATCAAATTCATCTTATTAGAAAGCAAGTGTACTGTACAGCTAAGGTACCTATTTATGTAATACTGTATTGCTACAGTAAAAGACAGGCATAGGGAAACTGATGGCAGAATATGAAATGGAACAAAACAAACATAACTGTAATATTTTCCTCGAATAATCTAAGCAACACTGGCCTATTCTTATACCAGCACATCCTGATCTTTCCACCTTCTATGGCCACTATATTAGTAACTTGTGGCAAGTTCTATGTGACTCTGATTCTAATCAAGGTTATAGAGCAGTGTATAAAAAGGAAATATCAGGAGATACTGATTTAATTATATCCAATTTAATTAAAAGCCTAGCATCACATTTAAAACTAATTTTAAAAAACTGAGATGTACAATATCTTATCACAAGCTATCCAATCCTTGAACATAACCTATATGCATTATTGAGCTCTATTCATGTGTTATATGATTTAGTATATCTGTTGGTTGAAAGAAAATCACAACCAGGGGATTATTATTTCTGTAGCATTCTGTTGAAGAATTAGGATACTGAACACAATCTGTCTGGGAGTATCAAGATGTGGCAATACTCATATTATGCTATAGAAAATTCTATTGCAACTCAATTAATACAGCAAACAAAGCTTTTAAAGAGTTGGCCATATCACTTCAAGTACCACAAAGGATTTAGCAACATAATAAATTGGCAGTTTAAGAAAAAAGCATTAACATTAATTCATTTCACCATGCCAGTGTAAGAAAATGATAAATAGACCAGGCATATACTAAACAAGAACAGCAGGAAGAGTAATTCTAGTAATTTGTGAAAAGACCTGTAAATTAAAATGAAGCATGACTGGACATATTTATTTGACCTTAAGCATAGTATAGATGATAGAATGTGTGTGCAGTTTGCTTTGAAGTGTTATTTCAGAGCAGTTATTTTGTACAAACAACTTGTACAAAAGATAAGGTATTAGTAAAGGAGAATTAAAATAGGCAGGTATTTCGTATATATTAATGGTTGTTTCACATATAAAGATTTGCTTTTTCCATATGAAATTATACTATTTGTGCAAAATAAACAGAATGAGATGGAATAAACGCTCATATCTATTTCAATACGCCTATGGAGAGATTCAGTTTGCATTACTTAACTAGTGAAATACAGAAATAAAAACACTTGTGTGATTGGTACCTGTGACTATACATTTTTAAAATCTCTAGGCCCAATAACATATATTCTCTACGTGAAATGTCTCTAAGCAATATAATTTCAGAAGTACTTCCTGAATATGCTCAGAATTATTATTTTCTCATTCAATATATGAAATAGTTATACAGTTAACTGTTGTTAACCAGCAAAATGAACAACTTGTTAGTATTTGGCTGATATTTGTGAGTGTGTTTACTTTTTTAAAAAAACAAATCAACTGTCAATTTTTTCCCTGTGCTAATCACAATTCAAAATCAGTTGAATTATAATGCTTCAGAAAGAAATAATCCAAGAATGGTTGACCTGTAAATGACAATAAGGCCAAATTTTATTTTCAACTGAATTTAGTTTGAACAAAAATACTCTATACATCATTTTTCCACGCCTGGGTTAAGAAATTTAGGAATATACAAAGAGTGGATATATCCAGAATATCAAAACCTAATAGCACATTTATGTCATCACTGCAAGCAGAAGAACTTAAGTTTGTTTACAGGGTTTGATGTGAAACTGCATGCTATTTGAAGCAAAGAATACGAAAGAGGAGAAACAGTGCCACAAACCTCAGAACCTAACCTGATTAAATGGAACGCGAAGTCCCTTTCTGCCTGCCAGTAAACAATTTTAGGTCAGGCCTAAGAAATACCTGCCTTAAAAGTGATCAAACCAGACTTGGTTGGTTTGAACATAAAGAAAAAAAAATGTATTAGTGTCACTAGCTTTATTTACACATCTGCGCTGATCTCAGTGCAGCAAGATTACCGAAAGCATAGAATAATGTCTGAAAAGCAAAGGCATGCATACATTCTGGAAAGAAATACCAGAAATGCTGTTATTTTCTTGCTGAAGGTATCCTGTACTAGGCAGTACAAGAAAGGGAAATGATGGGGAAATGGTGTTTGCTCATACCTTGCGCTTCCGATTTTCTCTAGATATTCTCCTCTGCCTTTTCCTCTCCTTTTCTTTCTCCTTCTCCTTTTCATCAAATTCTGCCTCCCGAACTTTTTTGATAGAAGCAGCGGCATGAGCCATTTTGGAAAAGGGATATCAGCTTGGAGGTCTCCGTTCCTGTATCCAGGTATCCAAGGTTTGTTTATCTTACAAGGACACTGCCGAGGTAATGCTGGGAGCCAGCTATGCACTGGGCAACCCTCTCCTCTCCTCCTCCTCCTCAAGCTGTCTGTGATAGGTCACAGCTGTGCTCTAGCCTCTGCAGCATCCATAATTCAGCATGATACCCTGAATTAAGAGTCTCTTGTGATCTCCTTGCATGAACACAGAATACGCACACAGTGGCAGAGGAAGAATTCCCTGCAGCAAGCATGAAGCATCTGGAAATTTCTCTGACAGATCAAAACAAAAATCCATCCAATATAGAAGAGTTTCTTCACATTGAAAAGATCTATTGGGATTCCTCCAGATGGACAATGCCTCTCAGAGGAAAGCCAAGATAAACCCACCTCTGTACATCCGCTGGAAGTGGGTGGGTCCGTGGGTAGATGGGGGTGGACAGCTCCCTGCCGCTGCTGCCACCATCACCCTCTTACAGGGTGAGAAGAAAATGGTGCAGTCTGACTTAATTACTCGCTGCTACTGCTGCAAATGTCTCTGCTGAAGCGGATGACAAGCTACACAAGCCACCACTCCGTTTCCACCCGTCCTTCCATGTTTCTACCAGAGCTATCCCCCACCCTAAAGCAAAGAAGTTATATAAAGAGGCCAGTACTGCTACATTCAGAGCAGACCAGCTGCAGTCGGTTCTGTCTGCAAAAAGCAGCTTTCTGGCTAAATCTGTGCTGGAGCTAAGAAGGGGAGGGAGGAGGTCTGGGAACAGTCGGATCCTTATTGTGTCATTTTCAACTCCACAAGACGCTGCACTGAGGGAACTGCGTTAAATAGTCAGCCTGCTTCTGCTTGGAGAAGGGACTTAAGCAAAAAAAATCTCCACGGAGCATAATCTTCTATTATGCTACTCAGCTGGACTCTAAGGAGGAAGGATAATAAAGCATAGAGTATCTTTGCTTGCATTATATTATAGGCAGCTGAAGACTGTCCTCAGCTGTTTGGAATAATGATTTGTATCATTATTGCCAAACAAAATTGTGAAATGTTTATGTTAGGAATAAAAAAGCAGGATGGCAGTAAAAGGACTTTAACAAAAATAAAAAGAAGGTGTCTCTTTTCAAATTATAATTGTGTCTCCCTCGGTGTTTTCATATACGGTAACTTACAGTAACGAAATTTTAGATCTGTTCAGTGGCAAAACCTATAGCTGAAAAGTGGCCTAGCAAAATATCAAGATTCCAAAATAGAATTTGCTATTTCAAGTACTTTGAAATTACAGAGCTCTTGCTTTCTAGATTTACCTAAATAGGTTGATGGGAAATTGATCAGACAGCTGCTGATAATAACTGATTAAACCCATCCAAAATGTACACTGAAAAATGAAATTATTTTACAGTATATTATTAAATCCAATGTCAGTGCTCCAAGACAGAAATTATGCAACTTAAAATAATGTCCGAAGTACTATATTTTAAAAGCTATTTTCCATGTTTAAGTAGAATATTTAAACTAGGATGTAAACCAATATGATTTAATTTATATGGAAGAGATTTTTCTGTGTCGTTACTTTCTAATTATTAGGGTCAGCAAAGCATTTGGAAAGGAGATTAAATAGCCTTTAGATTAGTATTTCTCTATCTCAGCAACTTTAAAGTGTGTGGATTTCAACCAGAATTCTCAGCCAGCATGCAGCCCGGGGAACTCTGGGAGTTGAAGTCCATACTTCTTTAAAGTATGGAAATTGAGAACACTGCTTTAGAAAGCAAAACACAGATATGGGAAGTGAATAGAAGTTCCACTAAGACAGAGGTCTTCAAACTTGACAGCTGCACTAAAATAAAGATTATGTTCTCCAGGGTATCAGTGGTGAGTGCATCTGTTCACCAAAAGTGCCGGTTATCAGCCAAAAATCCTACATTCCTTGTCACTCAAGATAAGTAGATAGTTTATCCCTCAAATCACCAGAAAAGTGAGACTTTCTGCACAATACTAGTGAAGCCTTAAGCCTTCCTTTCCATTCCCTACTCTGATTTATATTTAAAAATAAAAAGAGTATTCCCACAATTAATCATGTGGGGTTTGGACACAGGATTTATGGAACCTCCTTTCTAAGTTAAAAGACCCATAGGATTTTGTGTCAGAAGAAATAGTCATTTACAGTTTAATTTAGATAAGTGTTAGTGAATCACTAATACAGAATATCTCCAAAACAAGAATTTAGTCATAGATTAATGAAATACTTTGGATTCCTGAAAGAAGCTAAAAGCTAATTTGACAGAAAGTATCCTATATTTCTTACTGCAACTCTGACTCTGGTACCTTGATGGTATCATAACAGTGGAAATCAAGGTGTTTATCTAGAAATAAATGATGGTTTAATTTTAAATAGGCAGAGATCAGTGACAGAAAATATATTTTAAAAGATATTATACAAATATTTGAGGAATATTTCACTTATGCAAATTTATCTCAAGAAATAAAAAATATAGGCATAGAGACAGACAGATGTTTGATACAAGATTACAATCTGGATGAGATGATGCTGGTGATGGCCTATTACTATGATGCCTATTATGCCCTTTATGAAAAATGATTGCCTATTAATACCAGTTATTTATTAGATATGAACAGTTAAGCAAATATTAAAACAGAGAGAGTATAAAAAGCAAAGTCATGTTGAAGGTACTTTCTCTATCCAGCTATCTTGCAAACTTATATCTTTTTTTAATTTATGTTTCAAAAAAGCCTATTATTCTAATACTCTACGTTCACAGCCAGAGTTGGCAATTTGTATGAATGCTGTCAAGTATTAAATAAGCTTCCTAACCTTTGCTAAATTAATATTGGAATCCAACTTTTTTTACTAATTTAATCTGTTACAAAACTTTAGGAAACAGAAACACAAAATTTGGGGACTTTGTCAGTGGTGGAATTCAAATTTTTTTCTACTGGTTCTGTAGGCGTGGCTTGGGCGTGGTGTGGTTTGGTGGGCATGACAGGGGAAGGATACTGCAAAATCTCCATTCCCACCCCACTCCAGGGGAAGGATACTTCAAAATCTCCACTCCCACCCAACTCCTGGGGGAAGGATACTGCAAAATCTCCATGCCCACCCCACTCTGGGGCCAGCCAGTGGTATTTGCCAGTTCTCCAAACTACTCAAAATTTCCGCTACCAGTTCTCCAGAACCTGTCAGAACCTGCTGAATTTCACCCCTGGACTTTGTTTTTTATTCTTTGTTGGGATGTTTTCATTTGTACGTTTATGGTTGTTCTTCTGTATATTTATGACCATAAGGTACATGTGTTAATAATATGTCAACAGTCAACTTCAAAAACAACAACAACACCTAACAGTGTCTGGCAAACTATTATGCTAATGACTTAACTAAAACATAGCCATGAAGTTGGATGTTTTAATAAAAGGCAATTGTTCAGAAGTTCAGAGGTATGGTGGGATACCTACACTAGAATTATCAATGCAAATACATTTCATTACCCAAATAAGAGAAAAAGTTAGAAATTCTATTAGAGAAGGATGAATAGCTAGTGAAGAACGCTAGTAATCTGATTCTTCTGGGTTCCATAGTTAGAAAAAATGTCACATATTCATGAAAGGCAGGCTATATTAATGTAAGCAGGTAAAATATATTCATATCTACTTTTCAAAGTCTTTCTTTACATTTCTCACCAATTCAACTGGAGTTGTGTCATCACTAGGATGTTTAATTGTCATTACTAATTATCAATTTGCATATAGTAAGTCATTTGTTCTTTATGTTTTCATTACTACATATCTTTTCTCCTTCCTAAATTTCCTAAATTTCCTAAATCTTATCATAGTATCATACCTCATAGCAACTTCTACTTGTATCAGCTGAGGCCTTCCAGAATCAGATTTTTTCTGGCATAGATCAAGTTTTCCATCATGCACTGTGGTATGCAAAACCAAACAACATACAGTATATGCCGTGGAAGTGTGAAAATGGCTCTTAGATTTGCCTTCCATAAAGTGCTTTTTCATAAGCCTCAAAATATACATTCATTTCTTCTTCAGAAAAAAAATAACAATGATAATAAATTGCAGCAGGAGAGCTCAGGAAATCATTACATCCCACATGAAATAAGGAGAGGGTTTTTAAGAATAGATAAAACCGTATTTGCCAGGTCACTCCACAGTTTATAACACTGTCCCAATGGGCTTTTGAGACTCTTGATACAAATGTAGAGCTAACTGTTGTAAGAGTGAAGGTTCTTCCTTCTTCTAGATCTAGATTCCAGAAGTATTAAAAAACATGAATTTACTGTTTACTGTGGTGGTATTATTCACAGACTTTTAATAATTATTTTTATGAGTGGGTTAGCTACATTTATTTTTATGCTAATTTTGAAAGTGTATTAGCTGTGCTCGGAACATTCTCTAAAAGGAGAAGGCCCTACTAAACTATTGCTCAGCAAATATACATTATTTTCATGCAGAAGATCACCTCCGATTCCACAGTAGGCCTGGAAAATTTTCCACCTCAGCTTGTGGGCAGCGGCACTTGGAAAATATAGTGACTATTGCCAAGAAAGATTTAACTGAGTAGAAAAACCCATTTCAGTTTCCTTGATTGGAATTTTGTGTCACTGAACTTAAGTGAAGCTTAGTTCTCAGACTCATTAGGAATTGGGTTGATAATCACTGTGTACCATAACCATTCTGGTGATTTGTCTACAGTTCATGTAATATTAATTGGTTCTGGGAGATTATGCTGGATTAGCACTTTAGCAGTTCTTGCTTTATTGGTAGTGTTAAAGTACTAAAGTACTATATGGGCACACAAATCTAAATGCTTTTAAAATAAGTCATTGTGCAAGTAAGAACATCTACCTTCCATCAGTTTAAGGAGTACTTCAAGAGACATATTTATAGTATCCAGACTGTTTTGGAAAGGGAATTCATGGGTTTAGGGATAAAATACTTTGAACATCTCTAAGGTTCAAAATACTCATTTTGACCTTAAACATTCGAAAGGTTTGTTTGTTGGTTTGTTTGTTTGTTTGTTTGTTAAGGAAGCAAAAGTTGAGCTCCATTCTGTAGCAGGAGACCACTAAAACAATATTATGAGTCCAAATATGGGACTTAAGCAACATTTTATGCATCACTAAACTACACCCAATGCATATTGAAAGCTATGCAAACTAGAAATAATTTCAACTTTCCTAATAACAACTGATGCAGAGTTGTGGCTGTAGTTTTGTTTGGGGGAAAAAAAACCCTAAATAGCCCATCACAAGCAAGTGAATGTAATGAAAAGAATATGGTAAGCTTTGCATAATATTGGCTTTAAAATGTTCTGCATTACTTTGGAAAAAACAGGACTTGTTTTATCAAAGTACATCAAGAAGTGGACAGTCATTGTCCAATGAGTGCTGCCTCACAGGATTTAAGGAGATAAGTAGTTATCAGTCAGAAGACCAGATATTCAACATCCTGCCTGGAAAAAAAAAGAAACGTAATTTTGTAGAGCATTTTCTCCCTTTCCAAATATTTCTCTCTGGTTTGAGTGCACTGTGGAGCTGAAATTCTTGTACAAATGGCATGTAGGAGGTGAGTGGGAGAGGAAGCAGATGCACAGTGAGCTCAAAAGAACAGAAGATCAGAAGAAAATATGCCTCTTCTGACATTGGCTTATTGCAACTAATTGTGGAAAGAAAAGATGAAGTGCAACAGAATTCCTTCAAGGATACTCTGATTCCAGATTCATCTTTCCAGCATCTTAGGTATATTCAAATAGTCTTCAATTAACAACCATAATTGGGACTGGCAGCTTCACTGCTAAGCAGTGCAGTTGTAAAGTGAAAAAAAATCATGTACCATGCTGACTTACACCAGCAGTTTCAGTTGTT